ACCTATATTATAGCTCTATAAATGAAGCACACAGACTTTATTCGAGCCACAGAAAGACAAACGTTTTGCTGAAAATGCACAATACACAATTCATTATGTAAATTAACAACGATTCGGGACCAATATAATGTAATTTAAAGGAAACCTATGTGAATGGCGCTCTGTGGCGCGGCAGGATTTTCTGTCGGTTGCATTTAAATCCACGTCTGAAGTTTCCCGCTCTGTTCAGCATGCAGTATCACGTGTCTAAACAAATAGCACGTGCTGTCAGTGATTTCAACCACTAGAGGCCGCTCTCGCACTGTGTAATGACACCAGACCCTTTTCAGCCGCTCCAGCAATGGACACAACCCGGAAAACTATCGGCATGGATTTTTGTCGATAACCGATAGTTCCAGCAATCAACTATCGGTGCCGATTAATCGGCAAAACAGATACATCGGTCGACCTCTATTTTTGATATCAACAATTGCTGTACTTCAGGTCTGAGGATGAGCAGAGAAAAGAAAGACAGGGGAGCGGGAAAGAGATCAGGAGCCTCAGGTGCCGAACGCTGGCAGTGAGTGTGCATGTTTTTACATGATGTTTTAGGAGTTTATGTGTGTGCTTACATAAGAGCATTTGCATGTGCATGTAAAAAGGGCATATCAGGATAGGATTAATGCCCGAAAATATATATGATATATCCAACATATATATCATCCTATGTACACTACACTCATGTAAAGTGATATATTCTATGTTGCAAAACATAACTATATTATCACACCACACTGTATGTTCAACTTTATCCCCAATCATATAGTATGTAGGCTGATATATACTAAATAGCAAATCTCAACTATTTGATTACTTGTACCATCACAAAATGTAACTATATTATCGTTCAGCTCTAATCTGCTAAATGCAACTATGAGGCATGAAGATGTTAAGATAATATAAATATTAACATCATGATTAGCAACATTTAAATTTGTATTCTGAAAAGCACTAGAAAGCACTACACAAATAAATTTGACTTGACTGAATAACCAATGAAATTTGAAGTGAAGTGACGTGTGGCCAAGTATGGTGGCCCATACTCGGAATTTGTGCTCTGCATTTAACCCATCCAAGTGCACACACACACTGTAGTGAATAGGGCTGCACGATATATAGAAAATATTGAAATATCGCAAATGTAAATATCGCGATATGCATCTATGCTTATCTATGCTTGTAAATTGTGTATTTGTTCTTTTTTTTCTTTCTGACTGTTCACTTGCCTTTAATCATGTTTGAACATTCTCAGACTATAGTTTTTGCTGTGGTATATGAAGTACTACTTAAAGTGTATGGAAAGCAAAGTCACAATGATATAAAATTAGTGTCATTAATTTTTTTGTCATTCACATTGATGTTAAAATTACATTTTCTGATTTTGTGACATTTTTTTGTGTACTGAGGTGTACTGCTACAACACTGCTGGTCACTTTCAGAAGTTGTAGTGATTCTTTCTTTTCCAAGAAAGAATGTGAAACAAATTGGTTATATTATTTTTTGGTTATATATATTTTTAAATATTTTAAAATATAATTTAAATACATTTTTCACACTTTAAGCAATATCGTATCGCATATTGAATATTATATTTTTTAACAAGGTATCGCATATCACATTTTTTTTTCAATATCGCACAGCCCTAGTAGTGAACACACACCCGGAGCAGTGCAGCGCCCCAGGGAGCAGTTTGGGGTCTGGTGCCTTGCTTAAGGGTCTCACCTCAGTCGTTGTATTGTGGGTGGAAGAGAGCACTGTACATTCACTCCCCCCACCTACAATCCCTGCCGGACCTGAGACTCGAACCTGCGACCTTCGGGTTACAAGTCCGACTCTCTATCCATTAGGCCACAACTGCTCCAAATGACAATGCACAGCACTCAAAACATGACTGTCTATTTCCACTGTTATGACTAAACTAAAATTGATAACAATGATTTCTAATGTCTCCCTTTCTGACTCATTATATGACTGAACTACAGAAAATATTAGGGGTGTAAGGCTTACAAGATGTAAGGCTGCATGAAATCACAACATTGCTGTGATTTAGTCAAACTCTGATCTGCTCTGAGTTTGGGTCGCTTTAACATGCATTTGGGAGGAAATGTGCGGCAAGCATCTTCCCAACCTAACAAAAAGCACTTATATAGGCCTGAACGATTTTGGAAAATAATCTAATTGCCATTTTTTTTTTTACCAATATTGCAATTGAATATGCAATTATTTTTTTAAGCCCTACAATCCCTGCCGGACCTGAGACTCGAACCTGCGACCTTCGGGTTACAAGTCCGACTCTCTATCCATTAGGCCACAACTGCTCCAAATGACAATGCACAGCACTCAAAACATGACTGTCTATTTCCACTGTTATGACTAAACTAAAATTGATAACAATGATTTCTAATGTCTCCCTTTCTGACTCATTATATGACTGAACTACAGAAAATATTATTTATTAAACTGGATGCCATCTGTTGAATTTCCTGCCCTAATTCATGTATTGTACAATTTACAATATGACAATTCAAAGCTATTCATATATATATCATATAATTATATATAGCTATTTAATTTAAATTATATTTATGCAGTATGCTAATAATTCATTTCAAATGTGTTTATGTACAGTTGAAGTAGCTCAGTGAAGGTCATCAGAAAAGCAAGATGAACACACACAACAAGAACACAGACTGTATGAACGTGTGTTTATGGGAATTTGTAGACTTCACGTGAATGAATATCTGGCAAGAATGAGACATGAATCTCGAGGAGCAGTTAAAGACAGCAGAATGTGTGTACATTCATGTGCGTTATTCATTTTCAATGAGAGGTGTAGGGATGGAAAAAGACGGAAATCTGGGATGGAGGGATGAAGGAGGTGAGAAAGGGAGATGAGTGGAAGAATGAAAAAGTGAAAGCAGACCTGCTTCCTCATCCTCCTCATCCTCTTCCTCATGGTCAGAACTGGATGAGGAGTGATCGCCCGCGGCCGAGCTTATGGCGTTATTCACCCCACGGTCACCATACAGCAGCCCTGAAATACAGCAACCATCAGAGACAACAGACGGGTTCAGTACAGAGAAAGACGACGACAACTGAGCTGGAGTTCTACCCAAATCACACAAGGACACTAACATGACCCGAAAAGTAATGACACATGGTGGAAGAACAGAAAAAAGCAAAGAAAGAGACGAATGAGTGAGAAAAGCAAGCAGAATGATATGACAGACTCTCTGTTGACAAAGAAACAAAGCACATTTAGCTACAGAATCATCAGAAGAGGCGAGACCTGTCAGGAATGACACACCAACAATCATAATGACAACTGCAACAACTAATCCATAAATACACAACAATGCAAACTAAAGTAGATTGCAGAAATATAAAAACAAATCTGTTACTTTACCACACTACTTTACTATTACTAAGGTAATTCAAAGTCACTGTAAAAAACATATGTAAACATGTGAACTGCACTTTTTAAACACTGTCTGTTAACTTTAGACAGACTTTAAATAAATAAATAATAATATATATATTATCTTATTACATATATTATCTTAAGGTCTAAGTCTTCAGTAATGAAATGCACTGTAACTGCTTGAGTAATTTCCATGTGCCGTTTTGAAGTACGTTCATATATACGCTTTCGAACATACCGCGTGTAGCGTGCCAGGGTTGCTAGGTTTTCACAACAAAACCCACCCAACTGCTACTCAAAACTAGCCCAATCCCGCATTCCAGGGGGTAAAATACCAAATAGTCGAACACACCTCTTTACTCTCGCGTGTCACGTGACAGAGTGTAATCGCAACCTCTGCGGTTGAAAAATCGTGTTTTTTTTCATATCGCGATATTATCGCAAATGCAATTAATCGTTCAGCCCTAATTATAACCCAGCTGTTGTCAAAAAAAAGAGAAGCTTTAAGGGCTCCCTGCGATTTCACGTCCAAATAAAAGCTAGATTAACGTTTGAAAATTAAGAGAGCCATACATAGTGCAATTTTACAGCTGTACCATAAGATATATATTTTTTTATTAGATTTTTTATTTTACAGTGAAAAATCTGAATAGTAATATTTTTTTATTTTGTTTATTTATACAATACAACTATTATTATTATTATTATTATTATTTTATATTCATATAGATTTATAATCATAATTTTTTTTTAAATGAATTAAGGCAGCCATAATACTGTATTAGTACTGTAATTAGCACTATTAATACTGAATTTTACAGTTGCATTGTAAAATAAAATTATAAGTTTTTCTTAAATACTTGATATTTTTATTTTACAGTGAAATATTACAATAGTAATATTTCTTTGCATTTTTTAGTAATAAGAATTGCTACAAATAAGAAATATTATTATTTAATAGTCATAACGACATATAGCCATAAATAAAAGCTTTGTCATTTCAGTTACTGTAAAATACAATTATAATTATTATTTTTCTTAAATACTAGATTTAATTTTTACAATGTAAAATTATGAAAAAAAAAATATTTATTTTGTTTTAATTTATATTTTGTAAAAATCATCATCATGATAGTCAGCATCATTCATACTGATATATATAATCACAACATTTTTGACCAAATTGTGCAGCTCAGCAAACCTGGAGTTTTTTTTTGCGCATTTTATAATTGCAACTGCAATTTTTATCAGAAAAATCACAATTCGTTTTCCCCCCCCCAAACGGAGACCTAGCAAGATGTGTAATAAGATGCATTTTTTTAATAAAATGCTGAATAAATGTAAAATATATATTATGTAAATAATGGACAGATAAATTAATCAATATAGTTCAAGTGATAATCAGCATAACAATACAAAAGACACACAAGTAATGTCAAAACACAGCCTACTGAAAGAAATAAAACAAACGACTGTTGGTTCAAGTGTGAAAGTGGATCGTTTGTACCTGGATGGTTTTGTGGTGAGGAATGCACAGAGGTGCCTGGGGTTCCTGAGGGCGGCCTCTCTTTATCAGGGCCCTGTGAGTTAGGAGGGCCCACAGCGTAATGATGGCTCATGGGATTGTGGAGGTTTTGGTCGTAGTGTTGTTGAACTAGAAATACATCAGATAATACACAATCAATAAAATTGATCCAAGCATGTTACATGTGTTCGACTGCATTCTGTTGCATGAACATACATAATGAATTCAAACCGACCTGCATTTGATTGGCCGTTGACAGTGGCTGTTTGGCTAAGAGGCGGGACTCCATAGCCCGGGTGAGCTGGTGTGGGCGTGGCCCCGATCCCTTGAGAATACTGTTGCAAAGAACTCTGGGTAGGTGGCGGTGGCATTACTGAAACAATGGGTGGCTGCCCAGCGGCGGTTTGGGAGGATCTCAGCGTGCCGTACTGGTTGCTCCCAGGGGCTGATGGGTAAGAAATTATGGGGTACAGCGGGGCGCCGAGGTTGCTGCCGCTGGACGCTGGCACCAGGCTGGGCTGCAGCTGCTGAGGTTGGGGTTGAGTTTGCCCCTGTGAGGGGTGACTATAAGCCTGTCCGTAATATCCAGCTGGCATAGCGTACGGCGCAGTCTGCTGGAATGACTGTACCGGGGCGTTTGAGTACTGATGCGTTCCTGGTGCTGGATATGGCGACGGCCCTGAGCTGTTCTGGTAATAGTTCCCACTATAGCCTGTGCTCGAAACAGGGATTTTGCCGGTGGGAGGAGCGCTGTGTCCCGCCACGGTGGGGTAAGCAGCAGGCGGAGCAGAACTATAGTAGCTGGATGCAGGATACATGGCAGGGTACATCTGTCCTGGACCTGGCAAAAACAACATGTATTTGATTTGTGCTTTCAGCGTGCAAATGAGATGGAAACGTGACACATAATCATTAGACAAATCACATGTTTTATACAAATTGACCTGTAAAAAACAACAGCAAGTGAAACCTGCATCAATTTTCATTTCGTTTTAAAAATAAGTGATGGTAATACCACAATACTGAATGATTGAAGCTAAACACCTTTAGTTTTATATATATATATATATTTAATTATATTTCTCATTTTCATTCAGTTTAACATAATGTACTAAAACAGCTAAAACTAAAGATAACAGACATATTAAAAATAATAATAAAAATGGCAAAACAATAAAATATACAAAATGTAAAATTATGAGAATAATCAAAATATTAACAAAAACTACAATATAATGTAATATAAACACTGCATGGTACTTTAAAGAATACCATTTTAATAGTAAGACTTTTTACACAAATTTCTTCCTGGCTTTTTGACAACATGCACCTGTCATTCCATATTAAATAAATGTTAGATGTTCATTAGAAAACACCAAAACAAACTGTTATTAACGCAGTTTAACTGTAACATTGTCAAAATTATGTTCACGTAATATAAAGTACAGCTCACATTCGCATAATCTCAAAAAAGCTGTGCAAAATTACATTAAAACGTGTTTTAAGAAATTAAACAATAAATGTTGGTTATTTGGGAATATTTGGCAAATATTTATCACATTCTGCTGAAATCTGCGCCAGATATGTGCAGTTATGCGAACTCAGCTTGCAACTAATATAATAAGACATACAATCAAGACAGTGACATATTTAAGTTCCCAATTCAGGTAAATTAGTCTTAACAGACAATAACTCGGACCTTTAAGCCTTTAAAACGAGAAAATTAACAACTGAGCTACCTGAACTGAACTAGCCGCTAACGGGCTAACGACAGGAGATGAAAACACACTGCCTTTAGTCCTCATTAAAACACATCCAAGCTGTTAACGTTATACGATTTTAATGACAAGTACAGAAACATGTTCCTGTAATACTGTGATCTGTCGCGGTCGAAGTCCCCACCCCAAAGACGCAGATGACAGCTGCTTAGCTAGGCTTAGGCCTTTAGCTAACGTAGCTAGCCTATCTTATCTTCTTAAAGTGGATTTGACTAGGATTTTAGCATTTAGCAACTTAATTTAGCAGTTAGCATTTTAGCTCAACACTTAGCCAGTTATCTTTGCATTTGAATGTGCTATTGGTGTTAGCTTTAGCGTGTTAGCTCAGGTGTTTTCGCTTTAATCCCGTACCGTTCTGACACGGCGTCGCCGCTCCGCCTCCGTTTTGAGTGGAACTCATGCTGTAATTATTCACGGACGAGTTCGGATTCGCGTAACCCTGTGTGGACATCTCTATCCGAGTGCCCCGAGAGTATACAACGCTGTCACCAGTTGTGGGTCTCCATCGACCTGCCCACAGCTGAGCGGAGGGTTTGTCTGACTAACGGTGATGATCGCGGGCCGGTGAATCCAGACATCGGTAGAGGCGGCACTGACAGCTCTTCAAAATAAAAGCCCTAATAAAATAAAATAAAATAAAATAAAATAAAATAAAATAAAATAAAATAAAATAAAATAAAATAAAATAAAATAAAATAAAATAAAATAAAATAAAATAAAATAAAATAAAATAAAATAAAATAAAATAAAATAAAATAAAATAAAATAAAATAAAATAAAATAAAATAAAATAAAATAAAATAAAATAAAATAAAATAAAATAAAATAAAATAAAATAAAATAAAATAAAATAAAATAAAATAAAATAAAATAAAATAAAATAAAATAAAATAAAATAAAATAAAATAAAATAAAATAAAATAAAATAAAATAAAATAAAATAAAATAAAATAAAATAAAATAAAATAAAATAAAATAAAATAAAATAAAATAAAATAAAATAAAATAAAATAAAATAAAATAAAATAAAATAAAATAAAATAAAATAAAATAAAATAAAATAAAATAAAATAAAATAAAATAAAATAAAATAAAATAAAATAAAATAAAATAAAATAAAATAAAATAAAATAAAATAGCACCCGAAAAAACTGCCCTTTTGTCCAAAATTAAAGATGTATTTTGTAGTACAAGCAGGTGGCTCATCTAGAGAGATCTGATCCATCATTACTCGCTTGTAAGATACTGTATTTAAAAGGAGACATTTGTGCTTTATTGTTACATCTGTGTACATTTTGTTAAATGCTGGAAAAATATAAATATGAACAGCTAAAATTCATCGTGTTCTACGCCAATTTTCCACAAATTAGTTGGGTTCGGTTCATTGACTTTTCCCCCACATTTATATAGCGTTTTGTACTATATTTCAGATTTGAAATCAGCTTCACAGTAATAAACACGATTCAACAATTTAACAATTTTGAAACAAATTTCAGCCGTAAAGTTGTAAGAGTATTTCATATCAGAACTAAATGGCTATATAGTAGCCTATTTAAATGTGTATGTAGTATTTATTATATTTATTTGTTAGTTTTAGTTTATTTAGTTTCAGTTATGTTAGTTACCTAAACTAAACAAACATGAGAAATGTTGCCTTGCCAGCTATCTGGAATAAGTTTTATTTTTTATATATTAATTATATATATATATATATATATTCTATATAATTTTATTATATAATAAATATAAGTTTATTTAATTTAAAGTAATGAACATCAATTATGAAATTAATTCAATTAAGCTATAAAGCAGAGGGCAATAATGTCATTATTCAGCGCAATTTAGATTCAGTGTTGATTCGATCCAGTGTAAGTGTTAAAAAGGTAATCAATTATGAAATGACTTCAAAAACAGCTCTACAGAAGACAATAGTGTCATTCAATTCAGTTTTTGAAGTTTTTTGAACACAAGCTTTTGTCTTCTCATCCAATAGTGTTAGTGCAGTCAAACTGCAAATATTTTCTGAATATTACTCATCTTTCCAGCCCCATCTGAGCGAGTCAAAGGCGACAGTGGCAGTAAACATTGTATAACATCCCCTCCTGGTCCCATGGTGTGTAAGGAATGTTTTTTTCTTTTTAAATTAACCTCCTTTCGACCTCCAGTTAAACTCCAATCTGGGATCAGTATGTCTCCTGAAATTATTACAGTTTAATTTATTTATCTAAAGCATAAGATGTAGGCTATATTCAGATGACAGGAATTTAAAAGAGGAATTTACTTAGTGCTTATAACAAAACGTAAGTAATTGCACCATACAGATTGACTAATTAATCTGTTGCTTTAAATGTCTTATAGTCATATTAGTCATAGTCATGGCCCAGATATCCAGACCAGTGCAACCATGGGGTTTGGGCTGAAATGACCATACTTGATGGTCTTGACTGCTGATCTTTGCAAAAGCATCAGTGAGCACATTTTACAAGACATTTTCATCCATAGTATTAATGCTGAAGAGTTTACATTTGACTCTTATATTTGCTTATTTGGGGTTATAGTTATTTTATGATGTATTATTTATCATACTTATCTATGCTATGACTTCTGAGCAATAAATGCCACTCCCTTTTGCCAAGAAGACAACACTCTGTGTCTGTGCTGGAGGCAAGTATCACTCACATAATAGCAATAAACTGAGATTAGTAGGTAGCAACAGGAAGGAATGATTGACAAAGCTGGATGGAAAATAACTGTCTCTGAATCTGTTACGAGCGCTTGATTCATCGTTGCTCAATGATGCCACTTCATCAGATTAGACGTAGTTCCTTCCAGAGAATCACTTTATATCTACTGGCAGCATACATAACAACCACACTGCAAGAGAAACCACTTCTTCAATCTGTGTAACAGTCACTTTTATAAATAAAACATGCATTTATGCATGTATGAATAAAACAACAAATTCAGTCAAGTAAAAGCAATTAAAATATCTTTATTGTTAAAACATTATCAATAATCTTTAAAATAGTTAAACATACTTTCTAAGTAAAAGTAGCTGTACAACAGATACTTTGTAAAACCCTGTCTAACTTAATGAAGCTCCAGGCTTCCTAAGTGCTATAGAACCATTAGTAGTGCTAAAGTCAGCAAAAATCACAATCAGAACACATTTTACTTCCATAATGTGACATATTTGAGTGAAAATGATATTTAGTTATTCAAAAACAATACAATGAACCACAGGACTTATTTTGTCTGTCAGGAACTGATGTGATAAGTGTTTTGTATTTGAATGCATTCAAGCTTTTTGGAAAGTCAATTCAGAAGTGGAGCGATGATTTTTGTGATGAGAGATTTGCAAATGCAAATATTATTTTCCCCGGACTAATGTGCACTGATGAATAGCTCACATGAAGAGCACTCAGTGTGAATTATGAAAGTAAAGAGATTTGATTCCATTTTGACTTCAAACATTCAAATCACTCACAATCTCACAATAAAAATAATTCCGAACCAATCACAGCAGTTTAGTACTGAACCTAAAACAGAGTGCATTATTTTCAGTCAGGTGCACAATAACTGTTCACTATATACACTACAGGCCAAAAGTTTAGAATAATTAAGTTATATGTATAAAATAAATGCTGTTTTTTTAACTTTACATTTATAAAAGAATCATAAAAAATAAAATGTATCTCGGTTTCCACACAAACATGAACTGTTTTCAAAATGTTTCTTGAGCATCAAATCAGCATATTAGAATGATTCCTGAAGGATCATGTGACACTGAAGACTGGAGTAATGATGCTGAAAATTCAGCTTTGACTCACAGGAATACATTTTAAAATATATTAAAATAGAAAATAGTTATTTTAAATTGCAATAATGTTTCACAATTATTACTGTATTTTTAATGAAATAAATGCAGCACTACTGAGCAGAAGGGACTTTTTTGAAAACAAAAAAACATAATAATTCCAGTCTTTTGACCGATAGTGCACTTGTACAAAACTCTTTGCAGCTTGTTTCATTCTCCATGCATTTGTTTCCTCATCACAGTGCTCTGTCATTGGTGTATGAAGGATTTCCGAGGCCCTCGGCGTCTCCCATCCTGCCTTTCCGACACGTCTTTCGTCTCCACAGTACAACGGCGAGCGCTGAGAGCAGCAGCAGGAATCCGACGCTCCCCGCGATGATCCCTGTGCTCACAGCCACCTGGTCGGGTTGCGGCGACTCATATCGTGCACACGACTTCTCGCTGAGTCCCGCTTGATTCCCGGCTGCCACGCACACCATCTCCCCGACTTTCAGTCCGGGTACGGCACCGTTTCTTAAATATTCTCCGAAAACCAGCTGCTTGTTTCCATCTTTCAGTGTGACCTCATAATGGGTGATAGTGGAGCGAGGAGCGCACCAGTGCACAAAGACTTCCCCAGATCCGTCCAGCTTCACCTCCCGGAGCTCCGGAGCCTCGGGTCTCTCCTCAGGCCCCGTCAGCCCAGGACAGAGGCAGCCCATCTTGGCTGAAATCTTGTTGCAAGGGGTCGTTTGAACCGCACAGGGGTCATAATCACAAGGTCGACGGATTACACGAGAGGTCGTGACCCCTGGAGACTGGGGCGCGTGCGTCATCTTTGAACTTTCTTCATCGTAGTCGTCCTCGACTTCAATAATGCGAACACGTGTGAGAGGAGGCTGATGCAGTGAAGGACTGACAGATGTGGCACAGACGAGCTCCATCACACAGAGGAGGAGGAGGAGGAGGAGGAGGAGGGACATGACCTGTGACACCAGCAACATCTTGATCCTGAAACAGATAAAGTTACAGTTAAAGTTCATTTTTAGCAGCTCCATTCAGAACATAAATAAACCGGACATAAGAACAAATTAAAGAACATAAGATCAAATTTGACCCTGTTAAGTACATAATAAAAGCTCCTGCTCTTCTGAACAATTCATTGTTGTGTGTCATTGCAATAACAAAAATCTATATAAAAAATTAAATGACTTTTCAGCTCCCTATCCCTATCAATTCTATTATATTCTTTTTCATAAGAATATGAAATGAATTGAAGAAAAAGAAAAAACTCTGGTCGCAGTTGTGCTGTATGTCGACGCACAAACCACGAGGCAATTGGTGCCGACTTATAGGATGTTTTTAATGAAATACTCAAACATACGTAAATAAAATATTATTTTATCAACGTTATTTTATTTTCATTGTGATGCTATTATAGTTTTTTTGTTATTATCTTGAATAAGTTTTTATTTTAGTTTAGTTAAAGCTTTAGTTATTTTCTTGTGTTTTTTTTCATATCTATATATGTCTGTAGAGTGTTTTTAAATTTGTTGTTTTGGTTTTAGTTTTAGTTATTTTGGAACATCAAGTTAAACCAAATGAAAATTAGAAATGTTGCTTTGGCAAGCAGCCTAACTGAAATATATATATTTTTAAATGTTTTATTTCAGTAAAAAATGTTTTTATTTCAGTATGACAATTTTTTATGGTTATAGTTTAAGTTAACAATAATAACCCTGTGACTAACATCATTTCATGTTCACCTTAAACTGTTTCCATCCGTCTTTCAACAGTCTTTCTCTGTGAGCAAACAAACAGCCTGAATGATCCTTCTGGAGAGAATGAAAGTCAAACTAAACATGAGAATGTATTTTTAACACAGGACACACACTGGGCTCCACTTACACACATCGCAGTGGAATGAACCTCAAGGCAGCGCCTGACAGTTACCGCGGGAACCCGACTAAAGCCAGAAAGTGAAAGAGAAGTCCTGGTCCCTGATTGATGCCAGCTTGCTGAAAATTCACATCCAATAAAGATACACACTTGGATCAACAACAACCAAAAAGTTACTGCTGCTAGGAGATACTAAGTGATCAGACTAACAATTTCTACCTGGTGTAACAAAATAGAAACCGAAACACTGAAGGAAGAACCCAGGCCTATGTATAAACCAGAAGATACTTCATAGAGACTGACTCTAATGACTAATCAATTCTCTAGCAATGGCATAACAACACGCTTAACAGCTCATAACATCTTAACATCGCCCAGACAATAATGCATGGGCAAAAACAGTGTAGATATAGTTATAGTTGTTGCCAGAGATAACTAAAACTAAAACCATAAAAACAAATTTTTTTGTGACTTGAAATAAAATAAATAATTATTAACTCTAATATAAAGTATAAAAATATAAAGATGAAAAAATACCTGGAAATACATTTGCTTTTAGTCCAGCTACTTGTCAAAGCAGCATTTCTGATTTTCATTTAGCTTAACTTAACACACACACACACACAAAAAACGTGAAGCAATTTTCACTTTGAATTTGATAGTACATTTTATAAAGGTTCACTTTTTTTAAGGATGTTTTTAAAGAAATACAAAAATATACAGAAATAAAACGTTATTTTATCAGTGTTATTTTATTTTAATTGAGCTACTATTATAGTTTTTTGTTGTTATTTTGAAGTATTTTATTTTAGTTAAAGTCTTAGTAATTTTCTTGGCTTTTAATTTTTATTAGATTTATCAATATTTGTTTTGTTTAAATATTTGTTTAAATATGTCTATAAAGTATTTATTATTTTGGTTTTAGTTTTAGTTATTTTAGTACAAGTTAAACCAAATGAAAATGGGAAATTCGCTCCCCTCCGCGAGACGGAACGCTGTGATCATCGGAGACTCCATCGTCCGGCACGTCCGTGCTACGTTAGATGAAGGTAAAGTGCACACTCAGTTTCCCTGAAAGACTTCCCCAGATCCGTCCAGCTTCACCTCCCGGAGCTCCGGAGCCTCGGGTCTCTCCTCAGGCCCCGTCAGCCCAGGACAGAGGCAGCCCATCTTGGCTGAAATCTTGTTGCAAGGGGTCGTTTGAACCGCACAGGGGTCATAATCACAAGGTCGACGGATTACACGAGAGGTCGTGACCCCTGGAGACTGGGGCGCGTGCGTCATCTTTGAACTTTCTTCATCGTAGTCGTCCTCGACTTCAATAATGCGAACACGTGTGAGAGGAGGCTGATGCAGTGAAGGACTGACAGATGTGGCACAGACGAGCTCCATCACACAGAGGAGGAGGAGGAGGAGGAGGAGGAGGGACATGACCTGTGACACCAGCAACATCTTGATCCTGAAACAGATAAAGTTACAGTTAAAGTTCATTTTTAGCAGCTCCATTCAGAACATAAATAAACCGGACATAAGAACAAATTAAAGAACATAAGATCAAATTTGACCCTGTTAAGTACATAATAAAAGCTCCTGCTCTTCTGAACAATTCATTGTTGTGTGTCATTGCAATAACAAAAATCTATATAAAAAATTAAATGACTTTTCAGCTCCCTATCCCTATCAATTCTATTATATTCTTTTTCATAAGAATATGAAATGAATTGAAGAAAAAGAAAAAACTCTGGTCGCAGTTGTGCTGTATGTCGACGCACAAACCACGAGGCAATTGGTGCCGACTTATAGGATGTTTTTAATGAAATACTCAAACATACGTAAATAAAATATTATTTTATCAACGTTATTTTATTTTCATTGTGATGCTATTATAGTTTTTTTGTTATTATCTTGAATAAGTTTTTATTTTAGTTTAGTTAAAGCTTTAGTTATTTTCTTGTGTTTTTTTTCATATCTATATATGTCTGTAGAGTGTTTTTAAATTTGTTGTTTTGGTTTTAGTTTTAGTTATTTTGGAACATCAAGTTAAACCAAATGAAAATTAGAAATGTTGCTTTGGCAAGCAGCCTAACTGAAATATATATATTTTTAAATGTTTTATTTCAGTAAAAAATGTTTTTATTTCAGTATGACAATTTTTTATGGTTATAGTTTAAGTTAACAATAATAACCCTGTGACTAACATCATTTCATGTTCACCTTAAACTGTTTCCATCCGTCTTTCAACAGTCTTTCTCTGTGAGCAAACAAACAGCCTGAATGATCCTTCTGGAGAGAATGAAAGTCAAACTAAACATGAGAATGTATTTTTAACACAGGACACACACTGGGCTCCACTTACACACATCGCAGTGGAATGAACCTCAAGGCAGCGCCTGACAGTTACCGCGGGAACCCGACTAAAGCCAGAAAGTGAAAGAGAAGTCCTGGTCCCTGATTGATGCCAGCTTGCTGAAAATTCACATCCAATAAAGATACACACTTGGATCAACAACAACCAAAAAGTTACTGCTGCTAGGAGATACTAAGTGATCAGACTAACAATTTCTACCTGGTGTAACAAAATAGAAACCGAAACACTGAAGGAAGAACCCAGGCCTATGTATAAACCAGAAGATACTTCATAGAGACTGACTCTAATGACTAATCAATTCTCTAGCAATGGCATAACAACACGCTTAACAGCTCATAACATCTTAACATCGCCCAGACAATAATGCATGGGCAAAAACAGTGTAGATATAGTTATAGTTGTTGCCAGAGATAACTAAAACTAAAACCATAAAAACAAATTTTTTTGTGACTTGAAATAAAATAAATAATTATTAACTCTAATATAAAGTATAAAAATATAAAGATGAAAAAATACCTGGAAATACATTTGCTTTTAGTCCAGCTACTTGTCAAAGCAGCATTTCTGATTTTCATTTAGCTTAACTTAACACACACACACACACAAAAAACGTGAAGCAATTTTCACTTTGAATTTGATAGTACATTTTATAAAGGTTCACTTTTTTTAAGGATGTTTTTAAAGAAATACAAAAATATACAGAAATAAAACGTTATTTTATCAGTGTTATTTTATTTTAATTGAGCTACTATTATAGTGTTTTGTTGTTATTTTGAAGTATTTTATTTTAGTTAAAGTCTTAGTAATTTTCTTGGCTTTTAATTTTTATTAGATTTATCAATATTTGTTTTGTTTAAATATTTGTTTAAATATGTCTATAAAGTATTTATTATTTTGGTTTTAGTTTTAGTTATTTTAGTACAAGTTAAACCAAATGAAAATGGGAAATTCGCTCCCCTCCGCGAGACGGAACGCTGTGATCATCGGAGACTCCATCGTCCGGCACGTCCGTGCTACGTTAGATGAAGGTAAAGTGCACACTCAGTTTCCCTGGTGCTGGTGTTCTCGAGGTTTCTGCGCAGATACCCGCGATCCTGAAGGGAGCCCGTGTCAGGACCGCTTCCCACGTATCGACGAGGACACGAAAGGTTCAGTAGACTTTTTGCTTTAAGCATTGCCAAGTTACGAAACATGATACCTGTTTCTGATGCAGAAAAGCTAGTTCATGCATTCATGACCTCTAAACTGGACTACTGTAATGCACTGCTAGGTGGTTGTCCTGCATCTTCAATAAACAAGCTACAGGTAGTCCAAAATGCAGCGGCTAGAGTCCTTACTAGGTCAAGAAAATATGATCATATTACCCCAATTTTACAGTCTCTGCACTGGCTACCTATTAAGTTCCGTATCAGTTACAAAATATTACAAAATATTATTACAAAGTCCACTAAAGGAGGTAGAGCTTTTTCGCATTTGGCTCCCAAACTCTGGAATGGCCAAATGCCAACCCCTCAGAGGACCTCAGAGGATGCCAACCGTGAAACAACATACAGAACTACCACAATTTGCTATAAGTTTGATTGCATCATATAATAATTGCTGTTAATAGTGTTCATCGTCTGTTTGATTACGTCTTTAACTGATTTTTCCATACATTTCTGCCATATGTACATTAACTGACAGTCACCACTGATAAGCTACCACTAAATATTGTAGAAACTTAATTTGCTGCAAAGTTGCTTTGCAACGATTTGTATCGTGAAAAGCGCTATACAAATAAACTTGAATTGAATTGAATTTTTTTTAAATATTATATTTTATTTAATTTCAGGTACCACTTATTTTATTTAAAGTAATATTTTTTATAGTTGTAGATTTAGTTAATGATTATAACCTTCAACTGTTTCCAACCCAGAAAATGGAAAATGCAAAAATAAAAAATAAATGAATTCAAAATAGCATCTAAAAATAACTAAAAAC